AAATGCCTCGCCCCCAACTTTCTTTCAGTTGACAAAAGAGAACTTGGCTACTACCCCCGTTTTTCCCCATTTGTGTGTCACATCTTTATGTCACTTACGGTCTTATATTAGTCTTTGATTACAGCTGCAATAGGACTGGAGACTCAAACTGATAGAATCACTGGCCATATCTTAACCACAAACACGTTTTGCGTTGTTGTGTTCCCACAGGGTTTCATTTTTTTGGAAACACTAGCTTCCAATGGAAAAAAATTAGGAAGCATTCGTCGAAAATCTGGATTTCCTGCTTTTCTTGAAAAGTAGGAAAATCGGCAACACTGGACCTTTGTTCCCAACTGTGACTCTTTGCTGAATGTTCAGACCAGGCACCAGACACATTGGCTGCCTGGGGACTCTGCCCCCTTCTCTCCTTTGACACGTCTCCTTCCCTTATTATGGCTTTCTCTGCCTGCAGGTGACCTCCTGAAAGGGTCACCATCATGCCATGTTCAGCTCTTACTTGGTTTGTTTCTCTGTATGGAGGCAGAGGCATTCTTTTAATTGAATTAACTCTCCTGCCTTATAGTTAACACAGTTCTTTGAATATCTTAGATGGCTCATCAATGTGGAAATTAGGGAGATGCTATGCTGGGAACCAGCCTAGGGCTGGCAGGTCATTTAGAAGGATGCAAGAGGTCTAGGTGATACGAGGTGAGGTAGGTTGAGAAGAAACAACTGAGAAGGAGTAACTGAGTACCGGTTCAAGGAATTGGCCCAGGCAGAGGCCTAGGGAGTGACTGCTTGGGAAGGATGGGCTTGGAAAAGGGGTTGGGCAGCTTGGTGGGGTCAGAGAACTCCAAATAAGACTTAGGTGGATCTTTTGGAAGATCCTTCGATGTTCCTCTTTCTCTTCCCTCTCCATATCTAGCTCTCACGAAAATTCTATTGAGTCTGCTTTCAAAATGCTTCCAGACTACACACATTTCTCATAACCCGTATCTTTACCACCCGAGTCCTAGCCGTGGTCATCTCTCACCATCGTGGCTATAAATCTCCTTTTTAGTGCCCCTCCTCCACTAGTACCCTCCAAAGCTCTAGCCTTTCTCTGGAGCCAGGGGGATCCAAACTGCCCCTGTCCTGTGAGGGCCTACAGGATTTGGCCTCTGTGACCTTTTTGAAAACATTGCCCCCTCTTCTCTCTCAGGTCCTATCAGGCACATTTTTAGCTTCTGAGCATGTTAATTAAGGGGCTTTGCACTTGGTGTTCCTTAACCTTGGAATGCTCTTCCTCCAGAAATCCCAAGGCTCCCTCGTTCCCTCTCTATTCTGGTCTCTGCTCAAATATCACTGCCTTTGTGAGGCTTTGCCTGACCACCACACCTAGAATGGGATCCTCCACAGCCCACAAGCATGCACACAGTTCCCTTATCCCACTTTTCCTCAGAATACATGTCATGTTGTGTTATATATTCATCTGTGTTTTCCCCTAGAATGTAAGCGCCATGAGAGCAGAGACTTTTCTTGGCACATAGTAGATGCTCAATAAATAAATAAATGAAGGAGTCTAGGAGCGAGAGAAAAGTTAGAGATGCCAAAGTTAGGGTTGTCTTAGGAGAAAGAGGTAATATTTAACACACAAGAGGAGATTTCAATACAATACTTGGCATGTGTCATAAATATTTAATCCAATTCAATTTAATTCAAGTATTTATAGTGCAATCACTATGTGCAGGTCACAATGCCAAGAGTTGTTTGCAATAAATGATTATTTAAGGGCAGATCCTGCCGGCAAAGGGTTTACAGCTAAGGGAGAGGTGTGGGGGCAAATAAGACCCCTTAGTTATTTTTGACTCTCTCATAGCATGTTCTTCATCGCCCTGCAAGCTGGGGGTATTTCTTTCTTTCTTTGTTTATTGTTTTGTTTTGTTTTTTGGAATAAGTGAATTACCAGTCTATTTCTTCACTGAATCTTTTCACTGCCATATTGTCCAGTGGGGTGAAAACTGTTCTTACAAACCATAGTCCCTTTCTGAGTTCTGAACTCCACCCCCCCAACCCCCCACCCCGATTGCTCTTTGGACTTCTTCACTTGCATGCCCTTGGGCATCTCAAACTCAATCCAGCCAGCCTTATCCTAGTATCCTGATCTCAGCTGCTGAGGTTGAAACTGGTTTTTCTGGCCCATCCTCACCCTCAACCCCAGGAGCCTACCTCCCCACATCAAGGGGACCAGCTCCCTCCTCTCCTTCCCTGTCCCCACTTCTGTGGTCCTGGTCACCATCGGCCTTTGTCTGGATTTTCAGCAATACCCCAGGCTCCTGTAGAACTCCCCTTGCATCCATCCTTCACACCTAGGCCGGAGTGGTCTTCTTACAATGGACCTCTGATACCAGCACTGTTATCAAAACCTCGCTTCCCTAAGGCCCTGGGCTAAAGTCCAAAGCCCTTAACACACGTACAAAGCCCTCCTGGGTCAGACGCTGGATTTCTTCTCTGCTCATTTCTTGTACTTTCTTACAGCCTAGTTTGGACCAGAACAGAGATTTCTGGTCCTCTAAGTGGGCTACTCTTTCTCTCTCCTCTGGGTCTGCCAGGATGCTGATTCCAAGGCCTGTGGCTCCTCGCTCTCTCCTCTGTCATCCTCTGGTGCCTCCTTCTGCTCCTTTGTTCCTACCTAGTTTTCATTTCCTCTGAGAAGCCTTCCTGGGTGACTAACAACTCCGCGTCTTCCTCATGCCTCGACTCCCACCCAGCACAGGGCCTGTGTCCCTGCATGTGTTTCCTCAACACTACTTCTTTGCCATACCTGCTTTATTGCCTTTATTGCCTCCTCATTAGACTGCAAGCTCCGGGAGGGCAGGACTGTCCTACTCTACCTGGCCCACCTTGTGAGGGCGCCTACCCAGCGCTTGTTTGTGTTGGATAGGTACTGAATGAATGCAAATGCACTTGCTTGGATAGGACTTCCTCATAAATTAATCAGGGCTTACATTTACTGAGTGCATAAGAGGTGGCAGGCACCATTCTGTTTTACAAGCGTGTCAGGGACATCTCACATAACCCTGGTAAGTGTGGGCTACCTCCCCGTATAACAGATGGGGAAGCTGAGGTGCAGAGAGTACCTGACCAAGGTTTGCCTTGAGGAAGTGGAGGAACCAGGGCTGGAACCCAGGCTATTTCAGAGTCCAGTTCAGTCTCAGCCTCAAGGAAATTAGGGTGAAGCGCCATATGGGGTTCCACCGTATGAACGGATCCAAGTCTTCTGCCAGGGCTTTGTTTGTGTGTCGCGGAGAGAGGACGCGCTCCGTGCCGTGCCGCCCTCCTGGAGGCCCTTGGGTCCTCGCTGGGCTTTGGGAAGGGCCTGTGCCTCTGGCCGCCACCGGGAGGCTGCCTGTGAGCCCCTGGTTAACTTTCGGGGCTGCTGGCCCGCACGCCAGAGGTGCCCAGGTCCTCGCGTGGCCCTCCCCACCCGCAGGTGCGGCGCCGGCGTGACCCCCGCAG